GAACTTGGCGACTACCAAGACAACAAATAGTAGGCCAAAGCCCTGAAAAATGAGACTGTATAACCAGTAAAGCAATTGAACAGTGGATTTTATGCTGTCCAGTCTCCAGGTTCCAGTGAACATCATCATTGGCTTCAACATGCCAATCAGACTCTCGTGTCTATTGTACATTTCGAAGCAGATTCTTTCAGATTGAGCAACGTCGATTGATTGACAAGTAGAACTTAAATGAACAGAGAGCCATTTCAGACGGAGAGTCTAGTAAAAAATATATTTTATGTATGTGGGAAGAAAAACCGACATTTTTCAAGTCTTTTTCAAGTGCTCCTACATACGTCGTTTCATCTTTTATGCATACGGTTCTTTATGTTTTAAACTATCAATTTAGTGCACGTTTAAGGGTGCTAGTCCTAAATATTTTATTTTCACCTGATTCAATTTTAAATTGCGACCTAGTTTTATGTTTAAAGGAATTTCACTTAAAGGGTGATCCAACCTAAACGCACGATGTTAATTGTTAGTAAAACAAAAACTTTTCAGATAATTATTCCAATATTTTTCATTGCGATAGAAGGATCTATGACAATTATGCGTAAAAGAAAATATCGGCCAAATGCTCGCCACGGCTTCGGTGGCGTACTCCGATACTCCATATCTTCAATGGCACTGAGATATAATTGAGGTTGAATGTCGTTAATGTGCCGAATTATCTCATCCTTAAACTCTCGAATTGTTCTTGGCTTGTTGACGTACATTTTTTTCTTTTAAATGTGTCAAATCACATCATTGAGGTGGCCAATTAACATCGCCACGACGTGACCATGACTGAAAAGAGCCATTGTTTGGTTGACTGTGTGGCAAGTGGCACCACCCTGTTGGAACCACATATCGTCCAGGTCGATATCCTCCATTTCTGACCACAAAAAGTGCGTCATCTCGCGATAGCGAACACCATTCACGGTAACTGCTTGGCCCATCTAATTTTCGAAGGAGTACGGCCCGATGACGCCGCCAGCCCATAAACCGCACCAAACAGTCACTTTTTCTGGATGCATCGGATTTCCAATAATTGGTCGTCGGTTCTCATTTACCCAAATGCGGCAATTCTGATTGTTAACGAATCCACTCTGATTAAAGTGTGTCTCGTCGCTGAAGATGATTTTCTTTGTGAGGTCACCATTAATTTCTGTCTGGTCAATCAACCATTCGGCGTATTGACGACGCTTGAATTGGTCAGTAGGCTTCAGCTCTTGAGTCAGTTGAACCTTTTGAGCGTGTAAATTGAAATCTTTATTAAAAATTCGCATCAGTGATGTTGGTCAGATGTTCACTTRTTGGAGACGACGAGTTGAGGGTGACGGCTCTTCCCCYCTGCAAYGTTTTTCGCAGAGCGGACAGTGCGAGCATGCACAGGTGTTTTCGCATTACCCACAGACCCGCCGTGCTGAAATTTGCGCAAAATTCTGCCGATTGTGGACACATTTCGTCGCTTATGCTGACCAAAAAAATRAACACCCATTTTCGTAMAAGGCTTCAACAATCTTAACGCGCTGCTCAATTGTGCGCCTTTCCATGGATGGATTTGTCAAACACTGAAACAAAGAAATGTCAAATTAACTTGGGTAAAAACCTTGACGTTAATGTGGAATTCAGAATTAACATCGTGTATAATGGTTAGGACCACCCTTTAGTAAGTAGAGCGGCATTTATCTTGTCGATCAACACAACTGATGCTTAATATTTTCTGAGTTAGCAATGCAGGTACTTTCAAAAAGTAATTTTCGGAAAGCGATCCCGTGAATATTAACTCCCAAATGCTGCAAATAAAGGGTTTGGAAGATCACAAAAACAAACTTCAGATTAGTCTCTATACAGGGTGATTAAAATTCGCGTCATTCCTCTGGAGATGTTGTCTGGTGGTGTTTTAGGAGTACAGAAAATATAGCAAAAAAAACTAATTGTTATCAAAAATTGAGAAATTCGCAAAAAACTAAATTAGGAAAACGTCAACAATGTTTTCCAAGGTAATCTGCCTAATTAACATTACGTAAATACCTGTTGCGTCGTAATCGTTTAAAACTCCGGTAACCATGGATAAATAGAGAAAGTGACAAAAAGATAGATAAGGATAAACGGTAAATTCAGCAGGAATCGTTGAATGACCTAATCTATTTCGAAACTCATAACCTCGAATTATTAATTTGTTTACAAATTACAAAAACATACATTTGAGTCTGTAACTCCAAACAAGTGCCTGTGTAATCACCTTATTATGCACTCTTCTCGAGCAGCTTCCCGTATTCGGTTAATTAACTCATGCTCAATTTGTACCGGTACATACATACGTGGTCGGAATGTAGCCGGTATTTATTTGGTGCCTAGGAAACTGTCAGTTGTTGTGCAATGTTCTGAGTTTTCCTGAAAGGCGCTTCTGCAATTATGTCCAATACTTGTTCCCCTGTGTCTTGAACCCGTCCACTATCTGCCTGGCACCACTCTCCCCGCCCTTTGTTACTGTGTGAGTAATTCCAGCTGCTGATATGTTACATATCCGCAAAAAAAGTAACAGTTTGACAAATTATTGTTATTATTGACTTAAAACTATAGTAGAAGAGAACTTTTTTAATATCAGGAATTTTCGTAATTTGAAGCAAAGATCGTAGTTTTTCTTTTTGAATGCTAAAGTATACCAATATGCTTCCAATTAAACATGGAAAACTTTCAAAATAACGCTTAATAACAAAGTTGAAATTCGATTTTCAACTGTCAATATTGCACCGTGGATGGCCGAGTATCGAACTCTTTCTTCAGCTTCCAACTTTTATTCCAATCGGTATCGCTTTAACTACGGAACAGGAACAAACTAACTTCAAAATTACCGTCAACTTCACAAACAATAACAATAACCGGCTGAAAACTCGCTCTTCCAACTCGCGGGTTTAACCTCTTCTGCACCCGGTCGTTC